TATCCTTTAGAAACCCGCCGCATTAGAGCGCAAATTTTTCTTTTTTACCATTTGTTCTCCACGGACAAGGTCAACCAGTTTTTCACCCCATGTAACTTAGATAGTCTTCGCGCACACAGCAAAAAGCTGTTTAAGCCTCGGCCCCGCAACCGAGTTCGTCACTGCTTCTTTACTCATAGAGTCATTGCATTATGGAACAGCCTCCCGCAGGAGGTTGTTGATGCGCCTTCAAAGAGCACGTTCAAACACAAGCTTGATATATTCCTTGGTCTTAAACACACTACCACCAAATACCATCAGTTGTTCGCTCTAGATCTGTTCATCTATTTCTCCACCCACCGCGTTATCGTTTCAAATGCATTTATCCTAATTGCATTGAGTCACAATTTTTGTTGTTGTTGTTGTTGTGTATTTGTGCATGGATAAGCAAAACAAAAAATAAAAATAAAAGAAAAACGAAAACGTAAAAGAAACAAAAGAAAAACAAAACCTCTTTTGAAAACAAGTGTCATAAATTTCCTTCGTATGTCCAGGTGTGCACCATGTCAATTTTACCTATTTGCATGTAAACATGTGTGCACTATCTAGATGCGCATAATTGTGCACTGAAAGCAGATACTGCACCCGTCCCCTCCCCTCTTCCCTTCCAGATTCTTTCTTTCCGTTATCTGAATCCCCATCTCAATTATCCTCAGTAACGAGCGGTGCTCTCAAATTCTCGTCAGCGGACACTGCCTATCAATCGAAAACCGACAAACCAAGATCCGGGAGCATTGGGTTTAGCCTCGAACCCGTGAAATACTTCAAGACTTCAAGACTCCTCTTCCATGCCAAGAAACCATTTTACCGACAATGTGGCAGCAGCGCAATGATCTTTGGCTGACGTGATATCAACTGGTAATGTCTGCTTGGCCTGGTGATATGTAAAGTGTTTGAATTTAGCGGAAACGCAGAAAATAGCCTTTTGAGCTAATTCTGCAGAAAGCTTTATAACTGCTGTAGATTAATCGACCACTCTACTACCATTAAAATTATCTCTAAATTATCAAATCATATATGTATATATATTGATTTGAAAAATAGCTATTAAAAATGCACTACTGTGCATCTTGCTCTGACCTGGAGCATAAGTGTACAGATTCAGGTTTGTCATATTCAACTCCTCAAGATAACGAATCTAAATTTTTATTTGGGTGTTATTTTTCTCAGATCGGGATTGCTGCAGGCTCCATGGAGACCCTGTCCCTTTCTCACGACGGACCTCTTTTTTCTTCACAAGAGTTGTAATCATTAGTGGCTCAGGACATGTCAGTATCGTTTGCGTAGTTCCACATTAGAGCCGTTCTCATCATCTTAGGAGATCGACAGAGGAAAGGTGCAGAATGTTTTTGTTTGCTTTTGATTGGCATCATTTCTGGGTCCATATTATGCGAACTGTAAGGAGGTTGCAGCCGTTCTTCATGACGAAAATGNGGACATCTGAAACAAACAGAAGAAAACGGCAGTCTGGGCTCTGTTCCAGCTGTTGATGATGGCAAGCAACGTTCTTAGATATATTGTTTAGTGTACGCGGTAGTACTACCACACTGTTTATTGAGTAGCTGGTCAGAACCCCAAACCAACTTCATATGCTCGATCTTCGAAGATGTAGGGGTCATACAGATGTATCAAAATTGGTACATCAAGGAAGTTGTTCAATTCTCTCTTAAATGCTGATATGTCACTAATCGCACGAATGTATGGAGGAAGTTTATTCCACAGAAGCGAGTATTTCATTACAAAATAGTTGGATCGCAAGTGGTTGGGAGAAAACGGTACGGAGACGGTGTTAAACCAGCCTCGGTAAGAATGTCTATAGTTGTACTGATCTTTTAATTCTGGAAAGGCCATACTTCTCTTGTGCATTATGTTTGAATGGAAAAAGTTTAG